ACTGTATTATTGTCATTATTGTTAAGTAGGCCTTTGGTAATCACGGATTACTGGCCGGTTACGATGCTAAACCCTTAGGGGCGGGTTCGGGTCGTGACAATAACTGAGTTAGTGATATCTGAGATGGAGTTGGTGAAGTGTATTTGAATATCTTTATCTATGGGTGTAGTCAAGCCGTGTTTTAGTATCTAAGACACATAGCATGTCAGTCACTCCAAAATGTGGTTGGTTCTCACTAGTGGAATTTTCTATTTCAATGTACTCAAGGTCTGGGATTTCTACAACAAATTTCTTCACTTGTTTCGATGTACTAGCACCAGTTGGTGTGTCCATGGGTTGGTGTTGGGTTAGTTTGTTTTTTCCTTTGGTTGAGGTTAAGGCCTTGTTTGGCATGATCTAAAAAAATCAAAAAGTCAAAAAGTCACTATCCTATTTAAGTCACATCACCTCTCTAATATATCACTTCAAACCCAACCCATACCTAACCCATATTTCATAAAAAGTTAAAAAATGCACTTATTTAGATCATCCTAAACCACCCCTAAGTTCTGGTCTAGCTTTCTTTTATCTATGGGTTCCTAGATCTGGTTTGGATTCATTTGGGTTGTGTGGTTACTCACGGCCTTCTCAGCTCCTACTCTGGTGTGCTTATGGCCCTGCGACTGTTCTCTCTGCCCCTCCTGAATATCTTCTAAATATTTGAATTTATTAGGTTTAGTTGCTGGGCCAAGTGTTTCTACCCAACATCCAAGGCCCAAATTCCTCTTCCATAGTCTCGCGAGGTTACATGTTACCATTGGTATTAGCAATGGGTGTACTGCAGCTTTTCGCACCGATAACAGCTACCTTTTTCCCCGCCAGCTGTGCATTTTGTGGTCTGAATCTGTATGCTTCTTTTCTGGTGATCAATACGTCCACAAAGGAAACAGAAAGAATGAAGGGATTCATACTCTATATTATAGCATTTCTTTTCCAGAACAAATTTGGGAATTAGTGGTTTAGTGAGGTCCATTTCTGCACATATTCTTGCAAACTTGCCTATGGTTGCCATTGCGGTTGTCCAATCGATCTTCAAGGGTTTGCCAATGGTTTTGGCAATCGCAAATAAGACTTTATCGTGGTAGTATTCTATTGGAAGTTCCGGAAACCAAACCCAAATCGCGGTTGTGGTTTCAAAAGCTTCCGAAGGCTTGAGGTTTGGTTCCCATTTTCTTACTGTTAGGTAGTGATCCATGATCACCCAGGGGCCTCCAATGTACACTTTAGTATAGTCTTCTTGATTAGAAAACTTGAATAAAAAATAGTTGCATCCCAAATCAATTGCATTGAACTCATCTTGAAGCCTCCAAATATTCTTAAACCAAGTGTAGAGCATGTTGTAGCCAATACTTTTTTCCAGTAGTCTGATGATTAGTGCGCTCTCCCATGGTTTTCGGATCTTTTGCAGGAGCTTTTTGGAGAGGGAGATTGTGGGCAGATTCATGAATTCTAAGGGCGGTTGCTCAGTATTTGGGTGTCCCTCTTGGTCATCATCTTCTTCATCTGAGGAGAGAATCTCCGTACTGTCATCAAATGAATAGGCGCTATGTCTCGTTGTAGTTAGTGCTTCATTGAAGGATTTCGTAGGTAAACTGCCCTAGTTTGATTCATCATCCCTTGGTACAGGAGCCATTACCACTTTGTTGTCCATTTCACTGGTTTTCAAGTTTTATGAGCTCTTTATTTTCTTGGTACTTCAGATTAGATGGTCTTCTTCCTTAGTGGACTTAGCTGTTATAGTAGAATTGTGAGGGATAGCGCTGTTGGCTGAATTGCTCTCTAGCATTTTAGAGAGAGAGAAAACGTAAGGCACCACTCCAATGGAGACTTCTTATTTTGATATAATCATTTGTCAAATTCAATTATTATTATTTTTATTTTTTTCTGGTCGTTGGATGCTCTTTGCTCTCATATGTTTTTTTTTTATTTCCTTCATTTGGTAGCAAGATGGTTTTGCCAAATCTTGAGCCAATTTGACTTTGTTATATTTTGGGTAGAGCAATGACACACTATTGGAGCACTAATTTTGTAAAGTTAAGTTATTTTTTGACTTTGGTGTGACCAATGACACAACTATTAGAGATAATCTTGTTGACTTATTAAGGCTCCGTTTGGTAAGAGCTAAACGAGGCTTTTTTGGCTATTTTAGCCACAAAAGACAAAATAGGTTATTTTAGCCACAAAAAACAAAATATCACATCTAATCCATAATTATTACATTATTCTCTCACAAAAAAATTCAAAAAGCCAAAAAGCCCTTCCCAAACCAAACTTTTTAACTTAGGCTAAAATAACTAAAAAATTAAAAAGTCAACCCACTTTCTAAACGAAGGCTAACTTATTTAGATCATGCAGTCACTTTATTTTTTATACGTCTTTTTGTAATAAATAAAAAAAAGTCACTCGAAAGCTTGGGGAAGAAAAAAGAGCATCGAAACAAGCCTTAATCAAAGAATAAAGAATCTTGGAATGCATACTCTGCAACGGGCCAACACGTTCGCAGTTGTGCCACATGTGAAGCAAGTGCATGGAACAAAAATGTGAAGCAAGTACAATATGTAGAACAACGATTTTTATTTATTTTTTATTGATTTACATTTTATTGGTAAGCTAGACATTCAACTCTTCATTTGACTATGATTTCAAAGTTAATTTATTAACTAAAAAAATTATTTTACTAAAATAACTTGTCAATAAATTGATTTTTAAGTTATTTACACTGCATCATTTAAGAGTTGTTTGGGATGTCCTAAATAAATATATTTTTTGTCTTTTTGGGCCAAGTTTGGCATCTTCCAAAAAATTCAAAAAGTCACTATCCTATTTAAGTCACATCATCTCATTTAAGTCACATCACCTCTCTAACACATCACTTCAAATCCAACCCATACTTCATAAAAAGTCAAAAAGTGCACTTATTTAGTCTTCTCAAATTTGGCCTAAAAAGTTAAGGTTGAAAATATGAATGTTTGGGTTAAGTTAAGGTTGAAAATATGAATGTTTGGGTTAACTTTTTGACTTTTTATGAAAAAATATGTATTAAAAAATTGTATAAATTAATGTGTAGGGAAAAATTAGTATTGGGAGTTGTGCAGCCGTAATTGTTGACTTTTGGTGAATAGTGATAACTTTTTAACTTTTTGAGTAATTTTTTGAGTTTTTAACTTTTTTGAGACTTCCCAAACTTGGCCCTAGAACACCAACAATTTATTAATAGTTACTGTAATTTTACTTTTTTTTAAATATTGTTTTCTTGGTGTTTCATTATTGATTTTGAATTCGAACGGAATTGATGATGCGGTTGGAGTTGATTGCATTAGAAACTACAATAATAAAAAATAATGTTATATAAATTAATAATTTTTATAAAATTTTATAAATTACCCCATTTGTTGTTTAAAATTTTTATCTTGTGTCACATCTTGATGCAAGTTATTTTTTTGTAAAATCTATTAACGTGTATAATTAAATTTTAAAATATTTTTCTATCTCTTGAGAATTACAAATGCCAAACATACCAAAATCTGTTAGAGAATACAACATTTCTGTTGGATGTAGCTTATGATTTTAATACATTTATTTCACTCTATTTTAAAAACTTAAGGTCTCGTTTGACAACATAATATTTTAACTAAAAACTCAAAAAATCTTTCAAAAAATTAAAAAGTTTTTAACTATTTAAAAAAAGTCAAAAAAATTCTTCTCATTCACCTTAGTGTTAATGATTTATTCCAATTCACGTTACTTTTTGTATGTTTTTATTGGTAAAAAAACTAACAAATTTCCTCTCAATTATATTAATTTTTTTTTATGTTTTAATTAAAAAATCAAAAAATTATTAACAAAACCACTTTTCAAACCAAAGGGTTATTTGTGTTTTAAAAAAAAAAAACAAACCAAAGGATTATTTTGGGAATAAATTATTAATTAATCTTTTTATAAAAAGAGATGTAAAAAAAATAATAGAAACAAAAGTTCATCGTTTTAAAGGTGAGGGAAAGAAAAAAAATTATTGAAACATTTCTCTTCTCTCACCAACTTGTAGGCTTTGTTTGGAACAATTTTTAAACGTTGATTCTACTCTCACATTTGAATATGGTGTTTGGATAGGTATGTAGAATTAATTTTCTACAACACTGGAGAAAACTCTATCTGAGAGCGATTTTCAATTTTTTTTTTTTTTTTAAATTTGGCCTAACCGGTCGTCCCACCGGACATCCTACCGGACGTCCCACCGGTTGACCGAAACAGTGCAAATTTTTTTTTTTAGCAATTGATATGTTAATTTTTATATATTCGAAAAAAATATTTTTCGAATTTTTTAAAATTTTTTTTGTGCTTTAATTGAATTTTGAGTTGTATGTTTGGTTATGAGTTGTAAGTTTTTTATCAAATATCATATGTCACATCAAAAAATTTTCACTCAATTAAAAACTCTTTTACCAAACAAATTTTCCACACTCAAATCATAATTTCAAAACTCACAAACTCAAAATACAACTCCTATTCTCAAATCATATTTACAAACGCAACCGTAATTTCCTATAATTAATTTTTAAAACAAGCCTAAGCATTTATGAAATGAAAATGACTTAAATAAATTTATGAAAAGAAATTGAGAATATCAACTTTAGCAATGATTCATAGTATTAATTTTAATGCCTTAATAAAATATTGATAACATAATAAGAAGAAAAAACAAACAAATAAATAAAGCTCACTATTAACTCTTTATCAAAATATCATATTACAATAAATAAAGCTCACTATTAACTCTTTAGAGCCAACTTTAAAACTCAAAAGTTAAACCCCCAAAACATTTTTACATCAACTTTGACCTTGCGTCAGAATGCACCAAACCGTCCAAAACATTTTTCTATCAACTTTGTTCTTGCGTCAGAATGCACCAAACCGTTTAAATGCAGGGGCATTTCCGTTATTCTCGTAAAAATAAATGGCAGTTTAAAGCCGGAGTTCATCTCTATTTAATTCCCTGTCGTTGACGTTCCTTACCTCATATATCGAGCGTTGGTTTCAAGCTTTCCCCTTGGCCCTCTCTCTCTCTCTCTCCTCTCCCGCGCTTTATCTCTCTAGATCCCTCTCCAAAAGCTGCCCCCAGGTAAAAATTCTCTTCGATCATCTGTTAATCCTTGTGATTTTATGTAGATTTGTATTGGTTTTGTTAAATTTTGTTGATATTCTTGTCAGATAACCTGTTCTTAATCGATGTCTTGTTTCAATTGAGGTCTCTGATGATCAAATGAGGCCAATTGTTGGATATGAATCTGTGTAAATTGTGTTTATTTTTTGAAAAAATTACGGTTATTGAACGACATTTGATTTGATTTGAAGATAATCGTAGACGATTTTGGATTTAGTTTTATTTATTATTTATTATTATTATTAGTTATGAGATTGTGTTGTTGAAATCGTTTTGATATGTGTTCCTTATCCTAAATGAATGGATGTATTTGAATCTGTAATCATAATTTAGCTTAACATGTTCATTGTGGAAGTCATTTCTGGTTGGTGATCTATGCCTTGGCTTCAGATCCATTTGATCTGATAAGCTTTCTGTGTAGAATTACTTTTAATTTTGCTTTGTTTCTCGTAATCTGTGTGTGTCGGGCTTCATCTGTCACTGTCTCTCTCAAGATCCCTCCGTAAAAGCTTTCTCCAGCTATAAACATAGCTCTCGTTGACGTGGATTTGTGTTGGATATGTCATTTCCTTGGATTGATTAGAAATCTATGGTGTTCTTCTTAAGTATCCTATATTTAATCAATATGTTTTTTGATTAGAATGTTCGATTCAAGGACTTTGTGCTGATTAAAAGACAAATTCGTCACAATATATTTACTTTTGTGCTTTATGGCTTCATTTATGATTTGTTGGCAATATTGCTTTCTTTTGTTCTGATTTGAAGGTTGTGTTTGAAATCATTTTGATCTGTGGTATTCATTAGTTCATATCAAGGGTAATTTGTAAATAAACAACTGTACTAAAAATTAAAATCTGAATTTATAATGGAGCTTAACACAATCAATTTTACCTAATTTCTGACTGATGATATGCTTGTAGCTTCAGATCCTTTTGATCTAGTGACATTTTAGGAAGTATTATTTTTTAATTTTCTTTTTATTGTGATTTTGACTGCAAACATTAATGAATTTGATTTTTATAGAGGATCTCAATCGGCTTATATTTGTGATGTGGTGTGTTCGCATGTAGGGATCCACCGCCAAAAAGAAAAATGGGGTTGACATTCACCAAGCTTTTCAGCAGGCTTTTTGCCAAGAGAGAGATGCGTATTCTTATGGTTGGTCTTGACGCCGCTGGTAAGACCACCATTTTGTACAAGCTCAAGCTTGGAGAGATTGTGACCACAATTCCTACCATTGGTAAGTCCTATTAATGAAAGTAATAAGCATTTAAGGTTTGTGGAATTGTTACTTTGCTCTTAGGTTTCTGATTTCAATTTTATTGCTATATGGACAAGGTTTACTGTGATTAATTCATTGAAGAGGGAGCTGACCCCTTAGTTTTTTGACATTTTTGTTGATATCGAACTGAATGGTATACTCTGTTATTGCGGGTTCCTATTATTCTCCTTTTGATCAACTGCTTATGTACAAGCTTTAGTAAAATCAACCTACTGAAGGATTCCAATTTGACTCACTTTCGTCATTATTAATTTGAATGGAAGGCTGTGTTTCAAATGCTACAGAACTAACCCTCTATTGTCATTTTTTCTGTAAATTCTTTTAGCTCTTACCTGTCTGTTGTCTGGTCTATAGAAGAAGATTCATTTTTATAAATTTCTAGGTTTAAGATGAAAATCTTTATGAAGAGCTGTCTATGGTGCTTGATTGTTGGCATCTCTTTTTATATGTTGATCTGATTATTAATCTAATGAGACTAGGGGATATGGTAAATAAAACAGCATAGTGTTGCTGTGCCACTGAGGTAGTAAATGCTTACCTTGGCTGCAGATGGCAGATGCCTCCCCCAGTGACAGATTCCTGTTGGGGAGTGGGAGCTTATCAGGAGGTCAGTTACCAATGCTTGCCCCCACTGGGAATATTCCTTTGGATATGACTTGATGTCTCCCATGGTTAAGAATTGAACTTTAGGTATTCTCAAGAGATTTTTGCAGTGCAAGCAGATGACGTAATAAATGCTTACCTTCACTATAGATGCCTGTCCCAATATTCCCCATTTTGAGGTGGAAGCCTACCAGGTTAGTTACCAAGGCTCGCACCCACTAAAGTTGCTCTCGCTTTGATATGACTTGATGCCTCCATCAATTAGGACCGGGCCTTGGGAATTTGCAAGAGATTTGTGCTCATCCATTGGTGAGACTGCTAGTTTCCAGAACTACTCTGGTTATATCATCTGCTTGGAGTTCCTTCATTGATGCTGTTTTAATGGCATTTCAAGCTTCAAAGTATCTCTTACACATCTATTATATATATGTATATATAAATTGTATTTAAACATCACAAGTCCTGTAACCTGCAGGTCATAGTAGCTAACTTACTAGATCAAATGTTCACTTATGTTGTCTAGTTATTGCAATATGACGTGTAAAACCCAAATGCAAGCATTGATTGAGAAACTAAATGCATGCTCCACCTGTGCGCGACTATAGAGGCTTTATCTTGACTAGGCTTTGTGTAATTAGACACAGCCATGTTGTTTTAGTGGACATCTCCATGTCTTTGGACTCATGTATTGAGCAAAGATCAAGGATCATTTCACTATGCATATAAATATTCACTTTAAATATATGTATATATTATGATATCTTGTTTTAGTGAATGTTTCACATAAAGGATGACTATGGAAGTCTCTACCTTGTAAACCTTTGAGTAATTAGATAGAATTTTTAAATTGTGTATGTTTATTGGATAAGCTTTGTGATGGAGATGATGTTTCAATTGTTAGAATTATTATATCCACTATGGGAAGTTTTTCTTTTAAATATGGAGAATCTTTTGTTGGTTGTAGCAAATGAAGAGATGTAATACAGTGACGGTAGATGAAAGTATTAGGGGAAGGGGCAAACCTAGATTGACGTGGGCAAGTGTAATAAATAGATATATGAATCTCTTTAATTTGACTAACCAAATGGCCGTTGATAGAGTCGAGTGGAGAAGAAGGATTCATGTAATCGGCCCCATTTGATGGGGCTTAAGACTTGGTTTGGTTTGGTTTGGTTTGGTTTGGTTTAATCAGTGGGTCATACATCTATTACTAGTGGAATTTTTCTGAGTGTGATGCATTGATATTGATAGAATTGTAACGTTGATTGGATATATACATCTGAATATTGTTGTTTTATTTACAAAATGGTATCATTTGCAGGCTTTAACGTTGAAACTGTTGAGTACAAAAATATCAGCTTCACCGTGTGGGATGTCGGTGGCCAGGACAAGGTATGGACTTCTATATTTATTTCCGATCCATGTATAGCCATTGAATGTGTAGTCAGAAGTTTATCTGTTTTAATGAAATATCAGGAGTAGTTTCCTTCCTTCTCCTTTTTCTTATGATTTGTTTATGAGATGGAAAACTATTGATTGAAATACTGTTGAATACAGATTCGCCCATTGTGGAGGCACTATTTCCAGAACACGCAGGGTCTCATTTTTGTGGTTGATAGCAACGACAGAGACCGTGTTGTTGAGGCAAGGGATGAATTGCATCGCATGTTGAATGAGGTAACTTGCCATGTGGTCATTCCAGTAATATTTGTTTGGCTTTAAAAGTATTTGAACTTACAGAAGTTTTGGAAATGTCTCCTGCATTCCAAGATTTTTTTCCTTGTGTGATTCACCTGTCTCTCTATCTCAATGCTTGAGCTGTTAATGAGTTCACTAGTAATTCTGCAGAAGCTATACTCCTGTGTAGGGGTAACCAGGGAAAAAAAAGAAAGAAGGAAAAGTGAACAGTTAGAATACATGCCAATATGGATGCTTTGAAGGCATTTTGACCTATGTTTGGCCTTTTAGTTGCCTGTGTTTTCTGTTTTGCGTGTATAAAATTTGACATAAGATGTATGTTGGCACTGCATGTTTTCTTATCTCTGCTATGTGTGTTTTGTTGGTCATGTAACCAATTAGATGCTTGAGCAACTGTTTTGCCATATTGCTATTCGTAGACTACAAATGAGGAAAAATATTAGGATAACATGAAGACTGACATTTAGGCCTCTCACTCCAGGATGAGTTACGAGATGCAGTGTTGCTTGTATTTGCTAACAAACAAGATCTTCCTAATGCGATGAATGCTGCTGAAATTACTGACAAGCTTGGCCTCCACTCTCTCCGACAGCGTCACTGGTGAGCCTCTTGATTTTCCCCCATCCTTGATAATCTGAATTAATAGCTTCAGTCTATTTGTTTTTAACCCAATCTTCTGCTCTTTGCAGGTACATCCAGAGCACCTGTGCAACCTCTGGGGAGGGTTTGTATGAGGGGTTGGATTGGCTCTCCAACAACATTGCTAACAAGGCGAGTACTTGGATACACTTTGTTACTCTTTGTTAAAGTAACTACTGATTGATCGATGGACCCCATTATATGTTTTTTTATCACTTCACAACTAGAAAGCATGGACACGTGACACAACATAGACACGTTGACATGGTAATTTAAACAAATGCAGGAAACGACACGTGAAGTACATGCATAAAATATATGGTTTTATATATTTTGTTCAAAGTTAATAAAAAAATTCATACAACATGAATTTCTAAAATCTAATGGATGATAAATTAATAGGTATAAATCTACATTTGTTTTCCTTGTATCATTGGATCCTAAGACTATGTTTGGATCATGGATTTGTGTCTGAATCATGGATTTGGGTAGAGATTGAAAAAGAAAGGAAAAGGGAAAAGGGAAAAGGGAAAAGGAAAAGGAAAAGGAAAAGGTGAGTGAAATCTAGCTATATGTCATTCACATTTCAACTACTTTTTATTTTTTCCTTTTCTAAATCCCTATCCAAATCCTTGATCCAAATGCAACGTAAAAGTTATATTACTTTAATTTATAATGTATTTCATGTGCTTAACAGTTTAAGCGATGGACACAAAATAATAAGACATATTTGGGTGTGACACATGTTAGAAGTGTCTGAATTTAAAAGATTTGCCATGTTTGGTTTGTATTTGTAAAACAATATTGAAAAACAATTTTTTAGAAAGAATTTACAAAATTTAAAAATTTGTTTGGTTGTATGTTTTGATAATAAATTTGGAGTTTTGGAATTTGAGATGATTTAATATTTTTTAATTTTTTTTTTATTGTTGATTAGATGGGTGTGAGAGAAAAAATGATCGATTGATGTGTAGTAGAGAGAAAAATGATTTTGAAATTTTTTTTCAAAATTTTTTAACCAGACAAATTTTTGAGATTTTTTCTCAAAAATTGTATCTCTAGATACAAACCAAACAAGGCCAATTAGACATATTTGGGTGTGTGACACGTGTCAGAAGTGTCGAAAAGTGTCTGCCGAGCTTCTTAGCTTCACAATTTTCTCTCATTTTGTTTCTGATGGTCTTTCTTTGCTTACACAGGCATGAGGTAACACTGAATGTTATTGCGGGGTGATCCTGGATGCAGCGTGGTTTTTATCTAGTCTCTTTTTCCTTTTTCTTCCTCCCCTCTCTCAGACAATGTGTGGTTGGTTATGAATTTCATATTTCGAAAGGCATTTCACTTTCTGTTTAGGATTTTGCAATGGCCATGGCTAATGCAATGGTTAGTGGGATATATGTACTTTTGCAAACGTTGTTTAGGTTTGAATATAAAATGCTTGTAACTGTAACTGAGACTAATTTGATGTTGAAAGACATCCCTTTTGAGATAGTTTAATACATATTATTGGGTTCTGTTTGCCTTTGTTTTATTTAAGTTTCATTCAGTTGATTTTTAAGGGTCGGTTAATATCAAGCAGCAGTCCATGAAAAATGGTTTGTTTGTAGAGAGAAAATCCAGATTGAACAGACTTCGAGCGAAACAAGCTGATTTTTTGGAGAGCAAGTAATACATTGTTTAAGCCCTCCAAACACTTTTACAGTAAGCAATATGGTAAAATGTTCTGTATCACTCTCTCATCTCATATTGAATCTGAGTTGGAAAATTCAATCCGTCTGTTTGTGAGTGCCATGTTTACATGTTGGACATTTTCTGCTCTACATAACTTCTTGTGGTTGCATTTATGAGTCAGCGATGAGAATATATTTTGAATGTTACAGCAAAGATTTATTGATATATCAAGTAAATGGACACGGACACGGTATGGCTAGGGCTTAAACCCCATACGTATTTGTTGAGGGCGCACGTGCACGTTCTCATGCAGGAATCTAACTGGGCAGCAGAGATGAAGTCAGCTCAGGACATGGTTCAACTCTTCCTACTTACGTGTGGATATTATTCCCGTATTTGGTTAGTTCTCTCTTCTACAAATTTATGTGCAATTATAATTCATTGTATTGCTATATGCTATACATTATAATAAATATATATATATATATATTAAAAAAACACTTAAAAATGAATTATTTCCTTTCTTTAAAGGTAAAATATTGAATATCTTCTGGTCCTATAGTTGGGTTACATAATGGATAAATCGGAAAATGTTATAGATTTTAAATTTTCTGTTAAATGAATGACTAAATGTTTCATATAGGTGGGGGTTTACTTCGGAGTTCACAAAATGTGAGACATTTGGTCATTTATTTAGTAGAAAATTTTGTATTCTTAACATTATCCTAGATAAATCTCATCCTTGGATCATATTCCCTTCAATTGGAAAAAAGGTGGAATTTGATTTTATAACCAACCAATCATTTGGTCCCAATACGAATGTTGAATAATCAACCACAAATTGAGCCTACTTGTCGATTGACATTTTCTATAACAATGATCCCCAATTCAGCCACTTGTCCTCATTTTTGTTACATTTAAAGAATATGTGGAGAATAGTCAAAAATAAACAAATAATTAATATATATATTAGGGTGCTTGCTGTTTGGTTTTGGACGGTTCGGGGTTCAGTTTTTGGTTTGGACTCGGACACATATGTGAGATTTAGAAAAAATTAAACCCACAGCCGCCCGCAGTGTAGGTTGCGGCTTGTGCGGATAGGGTTCGTGGATGTGCGGATGATTTGCGGATTGGATTTTTTTATTTAAAATTTTATTTTGTGGTCTTTTTTTTTTTCTCCCGTTTTGTAAATATTTATTTTAGACCATTTTCCCCACATTTTTAAAATACTCAACATTAATAATTAATGAATTAAAACTTATAAAATTAAAAACACAACAAAATCAATTCCTAACAAAAGCAAATCATTCAAAATCTTAAACTTTTAAATAAAATCATAAACTAACACAAGCACATCTTTCAAAATTCTAAACTAAATCATCAAAATCATTTACTACATAACAATATAATTAAAGTAAAATCATTCAAAATTCAAAAATTTCTAAGATAGGATAAATGAAATCAATGGTCCAAGTTTTTTTTTTTAAAAAAAAAAGTCTAAATGCAGGCAGATTTTTGTGGGTGCGAATAAAATCCGCAACCCATAATAATGTCATATTTCAAACTGCATCCGTCTGCATTGTGTCTGCGAAATCGCTCATTTGTATACAAATTGATACGGTTGGGCAGTTCAGATAACCCTATGCCCAACCCTAATATACACATAATTAATTCATAGAAAATTTTAAAATGTGTAATGATGAGATCCACCAGAAGTATCCTCATAGCTGGTATTCTTATTATTTTTACCTCATCATGCTTATGTGTGCATTCTTAGAACTTTTATGTAATTTAATCTCAAAAATTTTGATATACAGAATCAATCACAATTCTCTTATACGAGATGGGATTGATTGGATTATGTACAAGTAGGGCGAAAAAAAAAAAAAAAACTAATTTACATGAAATTACTCATAATTAATATGACGACTAGACAGAGACAGATCCTGTGCTACCTTCCAAGGGATCAATGAGAGGCTGAGCCTCAATTTGTGGTCTTTCTTTGGTTTTTGTTTTCTTCACACTTTGCCAATCAATGCCTCACCACACTTTACATTACATGAAGGCCATTGGCCAATACACATCAGGTGTTTGGGAAGTTGTATTTTTTTAGATATTTTGACTATTTTAGTAGACTGTTTTAGTTTGTGTTTGGAAAGTTGGGTTAAATTTTTGGATTGATTGTTGTATTGAAAAATGTGTTTGAAACGATGTTTAAGATTGAAATGACAAATTTACCCTTAACTTTATTTTTTTCAAAATTGATCTACAGGGGCAAAATGGTCATTTAACTGTTTGTGGGATGGCAGTGGTAGCCTCAGCCTACACTGTTTTGGTGACAGTGTAGGCTGTCTATGCTGTCTATGCTATTGACAGCCGCTGCTTTTCTTTTCTTTTTTAAATCAATGGATTAGGCGGAGCAATTTGAAGCTAAAAGGTTTTTTGGCAATTTGCGGCTAAAATAGACTGTCTAAAAGTTTTCCAAACACCGCGATAGTTTGAAGGGTTAAGAGTGTCCATTTTTGGTTTTGTCTTGCTCTCATCACCTTATTCAAGTCTCTTAACATTTGATTTGGGACCATTCTAACAGCACATTTTATTGGTCCACAAGAAGGATAAGGGAAAGGTTGTACTTAAAAATATCCACACATAACAAGAAGTCCATACGTATGTAATGCTTTTTTTGTACGTTTCCCATCAATTTTTACTTGATATATATTTTAAAAATGCAGTGTCATAATATGTTAAAACATAAATAAAAACGTTTGGTAGCTTGAATTTGTGTATACTGGTCGACCCCTCAAACGATCACCCGAATGATCAGTGCAATACTTGTCTACTGCGGCTATCATCTTGTTGCCGATCGAAGATCTGACAAGCCAAAATTCGAGCCATTCGAATTAACTCAAATTCAAGTTACGTAGCATTGTTGACAAACAAAACATGAGCTACTAACAACATTGTTGACAAACAAAACATGAGCTACTAACAACAACGGGGTTTTATTAGTTTGTTGCATCTGATTTGAAGGGTTTTTTTTTATTTTATATTTTATTGTCATCTTATTTGAAGGTTAAGGGTTTAATTTCTATATATATTTTTTTATTTGTATACTTGTAGTACTCCCTTGTCAATATTGTTTGTACTTCTCCGTGTTCCCATATGTACTAACAAATGAATCAATAATTGTACTAAGATATTTGTATGGCTTTGAACTTGCAATGACAATATAAACTATGGGTTCTAGTTCCAAAAAAAAAAAAAAAATATGTCTATGGGAAAACAAGAAATTGACACAGAAGATTTGATAGTAAAATAGAAAGTAAAAATTAATTAATTACAAGAATGAGAATCTTAAGTGCCAAAATAGTTGTTATATATGGCATCTTAGCAAGTGTAAGTGGAGGTGCAAATGAACTTGAAGAAGGTGTTGAACAACAATACAATATATTTAAAAAATTACTCAGAAAAATATATTTATGACCATAATTTTTGGATGTAGTTCACATTTCACCTACTTTAAATCTGCACCATATAATTTATGATAAACTTTGTGACAAAAATTCGTAGTACATAACACTTTTGAATGTTAAAACTTGCTTAATTTGATGCCAATATGTCTCCGCTTATATTTTTATGATGTTTTACTATATAATTTTAATATCTTTTGTCTTTCATAAATTTATGATCTAAATATAACATTAAAAAGTGAGTGTTTTTAAGTCAAACCTATTATGAAATTTCATACTTTTTTATAGGTATGGGCCATTCATTCCAAATTTGGCAAGACTAGGGTTCATCTTGGTGTGAGATATGAGAAATTTGACCCGAAACCAATCAAAAAAAATTTGCATAAGAAATGAAAAATCAAATGGAAAAAAGTGATTGCAATCGGTCATAAAACTTCCACTCCTAGGCCAGACATAATAAAAATTCATCCTCTTGTGTTTTTTTTTTTTAGTATTACAAACGTGATTGTAAATTAAAACCAATGGAAACAATGTGAAAATTGTTTGTTTGGCCTTTTCCTCTAATAACATAATTGACCTCTGCATATACTTTAGGTTTAGATTTAGGCCTAGTTTGGGAAGACTAAATAAGTGCACTTTTTAACTTTTTATGAAATATGGGTTAGGTTTGGGTTGGATTTGAAGTGATGTGTTAGAGAGGTGATGTGATTTAAATAAGATGATGTGACTTAAATACGATAGTGACTTTTTGACTTTTTATCTTTTTTTAATCATGTCAAACTTGACCTTAGATTTTATTTTGTATTTTTCCTTTGGAGAATGTGCAATGATTGTGTGTATATAATATATGTGAGTGGACTACATGATAAAATAAAATCAGACAAAGTGTTCCCACATTTGGGCCCCTGAACCCCACAATAATTAGGTTTGTAGGCTTCCCTAAGTAGGCCTAACTTGCAACTTGCAAAGATATGCACAACCCATATCCTAAAGTGACACTTTTGCAAGGTATTCTTATTGATTAGTAATTTTATTCTTTTCACAAAATAGAATCCATCCTCTACTAGTATGTATATTTTAAAAACTTTTTTTGTAATTTAATTTTATATACCCAAATTTATTCCCTTGTGATCCCAAGATTGTTCCCTGTCTTTAAATAATTGAAAAAAAAGAAAAAAAGATCCCAAGATCCTAACACCAAATCATCTACAACCACCGAATTCTTCAATTATCCATTTTCATTGATTCTTCTCTTCTCTTTTTCTTTTTTAAAGGACATAATCTGACTTTATTTTTCTTGGACTTTTGTTATGTCAAAAGCAATAGTATGAATAAATCTTACCCATTTAATTTGAATTCAATTGTTTCTAGCTCTAAAAAAATGGGAAAGAAGTGAATTAATGGGGCCATTAGGGGTATGAAAAATGTTGCATGACAACCACTCATCCTAATATGGGTGTTTTGGTGAAAAGTTTAAATAAGCTTAATTTGCAAGAAATTCGTTTATATATTCTTTAATAGTGATGCAGAAATTAATAACAAAATCAGTTACAGAATATCTATGGATAAGTAAAAAAATTCATTTATATATTATATATTTAATATTATACATTATATGTTTGATTCTGTAATCAATTTATGTCTTTTTTTTGCACTCAGTTGATTGGTCATTGCACTTTGATTTCTACAGCAAAAAGAAACAAATATTCAATTCCTGTCATATCATTCTTGTGATCTCTTGGTTTACCTTTTTTGAATAAACTTTTTCTTATTAAACTTCTATTTTGCACTTGTGTTTATCTTGACAACTTGGGGGATTACTTTATCTTGATTGCTATGATGAGGGTATGATTTTTTTATTTTATTTAGTTGTTTGGAAGGTAAAAAGTGAAAGTCCCATATTTTTTTAATGCAGGTAATGTTAATGAATTATAGGATAGAACATGATCCTTTATACAGTTTGATTTAAATTTTGTTTTCGTTTTTATTATTTTAATTTAAACAATATTAGTTCTAACTTTTTTAGTCTAGTTTCAATTTAGACGTTTCATCCAAATTAAAATTCTTCATGTGATCAACACGTGTTAAAAAATTATAAATTTTAATGTCTAATTTGAATGGAACAACTAAATTAAATTTAGATTTAAATAATAGAGTTAATATTGTTGAAATCAAAATAATAAGAATTAGAATGAAATTTGAATAAAATTCTAAAAGTAAAAAGTGTACTTTTTCCCAACAAAAATGCATGAGGTCTGTAATTAAATGCCGTGGAGATCAAGAAAACAAAGTTCCCTCAAATAGTGCCTAAAAGGAGTAAAGCAAGCAAATAGTAATACCCCCCTTCAACTTGAAGCCTGTTTTTCTTCTCAATCTTTGATACTTTTCTTGGCCAAATTGTCATCCCCATTCTCTTGAAATTGAAATAGTTCCACACCTCACCAGATCATCGACACTGTTGCATAATCAGAGGCACAAGTGATGGTAACTTGACCAATACGTCTAAAGCCTGCCCAAGTCTAATAGAATATGTTTCTTAATATTTGATACTTTTCTTGGCTAAATTGTCATCCCCATTCTCTTGAAATAGTTCCCACCTCACTCGATCATCGACACCGTTACGTAATCAAAGGCATAAACAATGGTAACTTGACCAATACATCAAAAGACCAAGTTTAATAGAACGTGTGAGATCAATTCTTGTATTCTATTTTTTCCAAAATCAAAAGAGCAATTGGGTTGAAAAAAAATAAAAGATTTAAAACCATCTTCTGATCCTACAACTAACAAAAACCAATAAAATTAATTAAAAAAAGAGAAGATATATAGGTTTAACATATTCCTAGTCCATATAGTCAAGTACATTTGTTTCACTATTTTCTCAAATAAAAGCAAAAACTACAAGTTGTAGAACCAAATTCTTACCCTCATTTCCACAGTTTGAAGTTTTTCATAAATTTAATTACTTAAAAAATTTCGCAAAAAACAAAATTCACAACTATCACATTAGGGATTTGAGAATCTTGTTATTATCACTGTCATTGTTAAGGTTAAGTCCCATATGATAAGCACCGGCTGTTTCCGTCAGCTATGTTTTCTAGTGATAATTCACTTCTTCTTCTTCAGTGGGTGGTAAAGGATTTTTGGGTGGTCCTCATAATATATATATATATATTTTTTTTTTCCGGATCATAATCAATATTCTTAAAGTGTCACCAAATAAAAAAATAAAAAAAAATATTCCACAACATTTTTCTATGGCCAAAATTAGCATTTGCCATCCGCAAAAAAAAAAAAATTAAAAAAAAAAAAATTGCAACCACAACTTTACCATCATGAAAAAAAAAAAAAAAAAATTATTGTGATCCCCATTTGCTACCACAAATAATTTTTGCAATGGCACGTTGCCCACGCATTAATAAAAAAAATAATAATAATAAAAAAAAAAGAGAGGGTAGTGATAATTTTAATACTAGAATGAAATAAGAGCCCTTCATTGTGTTACAATATTTCATGAAGAACTGAGGGACATGCATTGTATGCCTGTACTACAGGTGGGAACTTTGGAGTTCTATTTCATAAAAAAAAAGGAGGGAGTGATAATTTTATTTTATTTTTTTTTTAAGTTTGAGTGGGGGGTGTTATGTTATTTACTTTTGGAGCATGTGTGTAGTTATGTTTTGAAGAGTTTTTTTTTTTTTTTTTTTTTTTTATTTTTCATATGAATTTTTTTCATTTTGCATATGAAAGAAATGGAAAATAAAAATGACAACACGTGAAAAATGATCGTTCGTTGTATGTACTAAGTTCTATAACATATATATGTTTCTAGCATTTTTATTTTCCAAATTTCCATTTCTCCAAAAGAGAAGCATATTTCTCACAATTATTTTACTTAATACATATCATAAATATTGAAAATCCTAAATTTAAAAAAAAAAATGTGAAACAATTTGTTACAATGAGCTCACCAATGTCATTTTTGAGAACCTACAAAGGTGATTAGCAAACCCTTTTTTTTTTTAATCAATAATCTTATCATAATCATATTTTTTTATTATATTTTGTTTACCATAATGTATTGATAGCGAACCTGAGTGGTCGAACCAATGTAATACTCACATATAAGATAGTAAACAACTGTTGATAAGTTATTTTATTTTATTTATTCATCGCCACCCGTTATGTGTGCGTGAGAGGTGATGGGGTGGTGATTGGAAGGGGTCTCTATCAAAGCCCTAATAATAAATAAATAAATAAATAAATTTTGCGATGAATAAATAAAATTAAATAACTTATCAACAGTTGTTTACTATCTTATATGTGAGTATTACATTGTTTCAACCACTCAGGTTCGCTATCAATACATTATTGTAAACAAAATATAATAAAAAAATATGATTATGATAAGATTATTGATTAAAAAAAAAAGGGTTTGCTAATCACCTTTGTAGGTTCTCAAAAATGAAATATAAAAAAAGGGAATAGAAAATAAAATTAAAAAATCAAACATGTGATGATGATGTCCATTTCCAAATTGACTGTGACCTCACCCCATCAAATCTCAGCCGTTCATTCTGATGATAAGGCCAGGCTAGATGTAAGGTATGGCGACCAACAAATAATGTTCATTCGTTCTCTCCACCATCAACCCTATCTCATAATAATAATAATAATAAGAAAAAAGATCCGACCCCTTTCCCTCCTATTCCCTTGAGCCCCTCTCTCTGATAGGTCAGATTTTCTTTTCTTTTTTTTTTTTTTCCTCCCTTCACCACCCGTCACGTGTGCGTAGAAGGTGATGGGGTGGTGATTGGAAAGGGTCTCTATCAAAACCCTAATAATAAATAAATAAATAAATAAATTTTGCGATGAATAAATAAACCAAACAATAGACAATATTTCATAAAATTTATTTATGGGGGGAGCCATTTTTTTTTAAAAAAATCCCATCCATACACATCATTTTTGATTTTTTGATCAATTTCTGTGTTTTTAGACTAATTTATATAAATAAAAAAAATACAAAAATAATATTATCATGTTATTATTATTTTTGTGAAAGGGAAAAAAAAAAGAAAGTAAAAGCAAAAAATATGAAAAAGACAATGAAGTGAATTTGAGTTTCATTTGGCATGCATGTAGTCCACATTTGATGTTTATTTAAGGAGGCCAAGTGTGGCATTGTAGAACTCAGGAAGCGAAGGCAAGTAGGGTAGCATCCACTCGAGGCTTTGCTAGTTTGCTTTCCCAACACTCCTCAAAAAACACCAACCACTCCGACAAAAAACCTTTCAAATAACACACTACACTACAAGAAATTACACTTTCAGCAACACACTCACAAGAATGGCCCCTCCAGAGGTATCTGTCGACGTCTTCACGAATACAGGAGGGAAGTTGTCGACGACACTGAATCCCGGGTACTCGAAAAGAGCCTACGTGACGTTTTTAGCCGGTACTGGCGACTACGTCAAGGGGGTGGTGGGGCTGGCGAAGGGTTTGAGGAAGGTGAAAAGCGCGTACCGGCTCGTGGTGGCGATCTTGCCGGACGTGCCAGAGGAGCACAGGGAGATCTTAAGGTCTCAGGGTTGTATTGTTCATGAGATTGAGCCTATTTACCCACCTGAGAACCATGTTCAGTTTGCTATGGCTTACTATGTCATCAACTACTCCAAACTACGTATATGGAATGTAAGTTGTAGCTAATACAAATACTATGATACTTTTTTGGAGTACTCAATACTATGCATGCGCATGCATTATAACCTTTTTGACCCACTTTATCTTTATCTTGTCCAGCTGTAGACTAGCTTATATTGTTCCCCCCATATCCAATCCTAAATATGGAAGAAATTTTATGTGTATTGATAGTAAAATATAATATAATTTTATTGAGATGAGAATCATTAAGTCTTTAGGTTTTTTTGATTTTCTAGTTATTTTAGTTCAAAAAAATAAATAAAATAGGCTTTTTAGTTTAATACGATAAAATATCACATCCAAATCATAATTATTTTTTTTTTCTCTTACAAAGTCAAAAAAGTCAAAAAATATCTCAAACGAGACTTTTTAATATCAAATTAAAATAACTAAAAAATTAAAAAGTCAACACACGTTCCAAACGAAGCCTGAATGTGTAAGTTTTACACATTTGTATTTAATTGTATGATGGAATTCTATCACATAAAAGAACTAAGTTATAGGAGATTCTTATACATAAATTCTATATAGCCATGTAGTTGTAAGGAATAAACCTGCTAACTGTATATAGAATACATATGGATTAACAAATAAATAAATTAAAGTGAACCTTATTAATGCCGTAAAATTTTATCTATTTCTGTATATTTTATGACCAATTTTTATGTTTCCTTAACATAACCGAGTTATTCGAGATAGAGATTCTGAATATTGCATGAAAAGTTGGAATTCATGTGAGACAAAAGACCTGTTTGGTAGAGTTGTGGAAAAGTAATTATAATTTATAACCTAACAGCTTATAACTTATAACTGTGAACATAAGCTGATTTTTGATTTATAAATTAAACTTCTCTTCCCCCACACAAAGAATAAGTTGATTTTTGACTTATAAAAAGCTATAAGCTGTATTGTTAAGCTAAACCAAACACATCAAAATAGTTTAAATTAAACTAAAACTTGTAATAAGCTGAAAATAAGTCCTATCAAATAGGGCCGAAGTGGCGAGAATATTGACTTCATGGGTAGTGTTATCTAGTATGGGTGGTGAGAGAGATTACATATATATGATAAGACCAGTCGAGTTCGAGTGGCAAAGAGGCTAAGGCCTTGTTTGGATAAAGGTTAGTGCTAAAATAGTCGTATAGGATAAAATAGATTATTTTAGTTAAATAGGATAAAATATCACATTCAACCCATAATTATTTTATTTTTTCTCTCACAAAAGTTAAAAAAATCAAAACGAGACTTTTTAGCCTAAATTAAAATAACTAAAAAATTAAAAAGTCAACTCACATCTCAAATGAACCTAAATATACCACGAGACTAATCGAAACGAAGTTCCCAATTATCAACAAAAAATAAAATAAAATAAAACAAAACAAAACAAAACAAAACAAAGAAAAAAAAAACATAAAGTGGAGAGAATATTACACAAACTTAGAGGTTATCTAGTGAATGTGATGCTCTATTTATATCATGTGAACAAAAACTTCAATATGTATGTATCATCCAATAACTAAATACCATATGGGTAAATAAACCCTACATAAACACATGTGGTAGCTATAATTATGTGCATGAAACTTTAATTAAATTATAAAATTTTTGGGGTTCATCATCTCCAGGTTAACAAAAATAGAATTATTTTTTACCTGAACAAACAAACAGTGTGATTTATATGTTTGATGAATTTTCACAGTTCGAGGAGTACAGCAAGATGGTGTACCTGGATGCAGACATTCAAGTTTTTGAAAACATTGACCATCTATTCGACATGGCCGACGGCTACTTCTACGCCGTCATGGACTGTTTCTGTGAGAAGACATGGAGTCACTCGGCCCAGTACTCGATTGGATACTGTCAGCAGTGCCCAGAGAAGGTGACATGGCCGGCTGCGATGGGTTCTCCTCCTCCTTTGTACTTCAATGCTGGAATGTTTGTTTATGAGCCTAGCCGCTTGACTTATGAGAGCCTCCTTCAGACTCTTAGGATCACTCCTCCAACACCCTTTGCAGAGCAAGTGAGTTCTATAATCACTACATATTTGTTTTTTTTTCAATTTTTTTTTTTTCCTTTTAAAGTAGGCAGGCACAAGAATGTAATTAATTGTGTGTTTCTATGCATTTAATATATCCCAAAAAAAAAAAATTTGTCCACTTTGAAAAGTCCAAGCATAAAAAGTGTATGTTTCCAAAACTATCCACTTAAAATTGGGAATAATGCATTTAGATTTGAATTCCAATGCATTTATTTCATGTCCCATAAAAAGTTGGAAAATTCCCAAAATAAACAAACATAATGGGACAAAGGTAACATTAACTTGTGTCAAAGTAAGCTATGGCCTTACTTACATGGTGCTCTCCCAAATAAGAAATCGTGAAATACATTAGGGTCTCATTTGTAAAGTTTTCTCTATGTTATTGGTTGGGAGTACCACATGAATAAAATTTAGTACTACTAAATATCGATAATATGGTGCAGTAAAAAAGTACTAGATCTAATAAAATCAGTTAGTTCATGGAATTAGGATCGATTCCCTAAATCTCCTTCCCTCGCTTCGAATCTATGCTCGACATTATATTCCAAAATCCATCCTAAACGGTAAAATTTAGTAGAAATCTCAAGATGGGGTAAGCTCAAGATACATTTTTATGATTAAAAATGTATGACTATAGGAGACGGGATTTTAAAAATAGAGGATCTCATGCCATGCTCAAATAACAAATAATCACATGATAAAATTAAATAACTCGTAATGCTTTTTACACCATCATCATCACCATCATCATATATTGAACTGTAGGAGGAGGATGCTTTTTACACCATCACCATATATTGAACTGTAGGAGGAGGACAATAAAGAAAGGCAATAGGTGTAAAGCTGAATTTAAAAATTGCTGTCATCAAGCTAGCCTAAAAACAAAGAGATTCTATGTGTGTTTCTAACTCTCTCTCTCTCTCTCTGCTTTTCATGTGTAGGATTTCCTGAACATGTTCTTCCAACACAAGTACAAGCCCATTCCTCCTATCTACAACCTAGTTCTGGCAATGCTGTGGCGCCACCGGGAGAACATTGAGCTCGAAAAAGTTAAAGTCGTCCACTACTGTGCTGCTGTAAGCATATATTCTCTTTTCCTCCAATCTCAATTGTCAATTGTATGTTCCATTTTGATCTCATTCATTGATACACATTAGTATTGACCCATGTGTACCAAAATTTCAAGCCTCTGGGTTGGATACATGCCCATATATCGCTATGAACTGAGTTCATGCTTGATTTAGTCCTTAAAATATTTGTATATAATCTCCTACTGATCAACAAAAAAAAAAACTCATAAATTCATAAACTCATGTCATTTGTGAGAATAGGGATCAAAGCCATGGAGGTACACTGGAAAAGAAGTTAACATGGACAGAGAGGACATCAAGATGTTGGTTGCAAAATGGTGGGATGTTTATAATGATGAATCGCTTGATTTCAAGGCCGAAGACCCTTCCCCAGAGGGAGAGACCTTCTTAATGCCCTCAATTATGGCTTCCATGCCCGAGCCTGAAATTTCCTACATCCCGGCACCTTCTGCTGCTTAAAAGCAGAAAAGCAGAGTCTCGAAGAGTGCTTCGAAGTTGGTGTGATCTATCCTATTGTACTTTAATACTTTTTTTAGGCTGCTTAGCCTCTTCTTTTTTGTGTGTGACCTCACAAAATACATCTAAATTCTCAATGTATTTGATGCTTTCAGTATAAGTAATTACCGGCAAAGGAATGTGTAACTTTGGGTTGGAACTATAATGCAAAAAATAAAAATAAAATAACTCTTTTTTTGTGTGTAATTTCTTACTCTTGGCTTTGAAATGTAATTCAATCCTTTAGTTTAAAATTGCATACACTAATAATCAGACAGATCCTAGATTGATGGATGGCATGATGCATAGATTGTTCTATAGGTTGAAAGAGCTAAAAGTTTGCTCATCTTCTTCATATTCCTCGTCTAGGACGGCTGGTTCTTGGAAGTGGTCATCTTCAAAAAGAAAAGGTGCAGCTTCTCGGTTTCTTTGAGGCTTTCTATCATTCATCTCTATGGCTGAAATTATCTTTCTCTTAATGCAGTCTTCAATTGTTTCTCCTTTAATTTCTTGGCACTGCAACCCAAGAAGAGAAAGGCATTCTCCTTGGAAGTCTAAGTCATTGGAAGACAGGATCAAGCCACCAATTGTTCTTGCAAGATCTGGGGCATAACTGCAAATCTGAGATCAGGACAGAAAATTTCAACGTGATTACAGGTATGAAAAAACTTAAAAGATCAATCCATTTTTAATGACAGAGTGTACTCTGCTTACCATATATACAAATAACTGGTGTCCTCAGCCTAATGGTAACTTAGGATATTGTGGAAGGATTCCAAGATTCAAAAATCCCATTATCAATGAGGGCAAGAACAAAAGAAAAGTGAAAAGTGCATTTAAATGGGAACTTAAAATAAGTGCACTTTCATGGAGATGCAAATGAGCCTATGTCCAGTGCAGGGGAAAGTTGTGGCATGGGGGGACACAACTCTCCCGCCTATGTTTGGTGCAAGTGAAAGTTGTGGCATGGGACACAACAGCTCTCACTTGCTTTGACTAGAACCTCTATGAAAGTGCAATTATTTGAGTTGTTCCGCTTAAATGCAATTCACGTCCAAAAAAAAAAAAAAAAAAAAAAAACTACTTATGCCATAATGACTAATAATGACATGATGTTTTGGAAACCCTTGTTTAGTAGAACCTACCAAAACTTTTCACAATTTAAGCCACTAAAAGAAAATGTTTCAGTTTTCTGTGACAAGTAAAACATCTATCAGAGAGAGACCTTGAGAGCATTTGCGCTGAGAAGAGCTCCTGTGTTTTTCTCCTTCAAATCATTCAATGCAAGTTTAACTGCTTTTCGGATTAGAGTTCGATCAAGATGAGTCTTTTGCATGCCTTCTGGCTTCATGACCTTGATAGTAAGTTAAGAGATAGACAATATGTGTACCACAAAATGAAAGACAAGGAACTATAACCACAAGGATGTAAGCATATAAGGAAAATCTGATGCAAGATTTAAAAAATAAAAAATAAATTTGGTCCTAAAAGACAATGATGGATATTGCTTATGATAACTGTGGAGGACAATATCAATATGGGCATATGGTGGCAAGTTCTCCCATTCCAGCAATGCATAGCCATCGTGATCTGCAATACTCCTCAAAATCAATCCGTAACTTTTCCAGTCGATGCTTGTTAATCCATTCAGAGATGATTGGGAAATTGAAGAAGGTGAGAAGTCCTTGAAATATAAAACCTGGAAGTAGGAGTTTTAGATCATCTAAATGTAGCATTATAAACCAAAGCAAGACATAATTTAATTGGATTGAAAAAAATATATATATAAGCATGTAAAACCGCAAATGATATTGGTATTTCTTTTATTTCCCCTTTTCCTTCTCTTTTAGTGAGAAAAACATGTTCAGGCAAACCAAGCGACGCAACAAGTGATCATCATAGTTATTTCAAAGGCAGTATGAACACTTCACACTTCCTCACTTTTTTTATTTATTCTTTTTTAAGAAGATAGAATCTCCTACTGTTGGTGTAAGTTTTAAGTCACAAATAAACAGAGGAGGTTCCCAACCATGCCACAAGGCCACTCACCTTATCATGTTTCGACTTTAATACCAAACAACCTTCTCAGTATAGACCTAAAGGTACACCTACCTAAAGGTAACATATGGATAAACTTTCATTATTTTATTCATTATTGCAGGTTTTTATAGACGGTTTGGACCTAAGGAACTTTCAGAAGCATCATTCAACTGATTCAATAAAGAATAAAATGACAAACAATATTCCCTTAAGTTTAAAATCCTACTTCATCAAGGCTGTACACATCTCTAATTGTGCAAGTATTCAAACATTTACCCTAGATAGATGTAAAGACAGCTACGCATTGAGGTGCACAGAAATTTCACGGATAGAATGCAAAATGGGTGAAAACTAGGGTTAGGATTAGAGAGGAAGAGAGAAGAGAGGAGTGAAGAGAAAAGATTTTTAGACTAATTGATTTAGAGTTGTTAATAAACCCTACACCAGCAACATATATTTATATGAAAACATTGACCTTACAATATGACTTCAGTACCCTCAACTCAACTTAGTATGGAAGTAACATACGACTATTCTAACAATGACGATGATGCATAGTTGGAAAACTAGCTTTGCCTCCCCATCTCAGTGAATAAATGCTGTCATATAGCAGTATCAATTGGTAGTTATAATCATAAACCATTAGCACAACATTTCTCAATATAGTTAACATACACTATCACATAAATGTTGCAACAAACTGGGCATTCTTCCCTATGAAACAGAATGAGAAATAAATTAGATCCAGCAATATATTGATAACACAATCTCAACCTCTGTTTTCGCGTCACACGCCCTGAAGCAGGAAGAAGTGGTTGGCTTTGACAGCTCACTAATAATAATGATGGCTTCCATCACCTGTCCAGTACTTCTGCGTCTTTTGGTGCTAGCTGCTCCACTTCCAACCTTCAGATGCACCCTGAAAAGAATTAGTTTAAAAATTAAAGCTTCATGTTACACACAAAAGATGGAATTGGTGTATGTCAAAGCATGTGTGATGTAATGAATAAGCTCCTGTATATAATCAAGCCCATTTAATATGAACAAATTGATCTTCATTGCAAAAGAACCTACACTGAACAACTATATGTTTGTTTGATTGTATATTTTGAAAATATTGACCATATTTGGTGAAAAATCACTCTAGCAAAATATAGTAATTGTAAGTTTTTGTTTATTCAACTTGTGTTTGTTTACAAAGAGTTTATCAGTTTATATAGCCCCTTGGGAACTTGCTAAAAAGGCAAGCTTTTTAGCTTTTTAGCTTTTCCATACAAAAAAGCCACCAAAAAGCCAAAAAACCAGCTTTTTACCAACTTTTCAAAACATTACTAAATCTATGACTGAAAAAAGAAATACAAAGATTCCTATTTACACCACAATCCTTCCTAGTGCCTAATTCCTAATATACACAATCATGTCATATATACAATATATTCTCACACCCCTGCTCAAACTCAAGATGTTTTAGAAGAAAACACTGAGAGTTTGCTAAGAAGAAATTGAAACCGAGCGGTAGTGTGAGTCTTGGTGAAGAAATCCGCATGTTTCAAAGCCGAGGAGACGAAAGGAAGCGAGATAGAGCCAGACTGCAGATATTGTCGGACAAAGTGACAATCAATCTCAATGTGTTTCATCCGGAAGACAGTATTGTGGGCAATCTAAATAGCACTACGGTTGTCACAATAGAGACAGGTCAGAGAAGACTGAGGTACACCCAAATTAGAGAGAAGACAACGAAGCCAAACAAGCTTAGCAGTAGCATGACCCATAGCACGGTACTAGTTGAAAAGCCCAATCCACACTTCTCCTTAAAACCCAGGTATTAGAGAGAGGGAAATTAGAGCCTTATAGCTAGCACAGATGGGGCAACTCCAAGCGATGTGGGACGCATTCCAGCACACCCTCCTGGACCACAACACGCACTAGCTGGACAAATAGCCCACTAATCACAGGCCCAACCAAGCTCCGATACCTGGGTTTTAAGGAGAAGTGTGGGTTAGGCTTTTCAACTTGGTATTCAACTCGCTACCAAAGATTAGTAGGACGTTTGATCTATTTGACTAATACACGACCAGATTTGACATTTGCTGTAAGTGTGGTTAGTCAGTTTATGCATTCACCTCGTACTGCTCACCTTGATGTCGTTCACCACATCTTGAGATATCTCAAGTCACGTCCAGGTTTGGGTATATTCTTCAATGGTGGGCTTCAGACAGGATTGTTCTGTTTTACTGATGCAGACTATGCCGGTTCATTGACTGATAAACGTTCCACTTCTGGGGTATGCACCTTCCTTGGTACTCATCTTCTGTCATGGAAAAGCAAAAAATAGGCGGTTGTTTCTCGATCATCTGCTAAAGCTGAATACCGCGCCATGGCTCATGGGACATGTGAGTTACTATGGCTTCGGTCCATTCTTACTGAGTTAGGCTTTAAGGAGAATAATTCCTCCAAGCTATTTTGTGACAATAAGTTTGCCATCTTACTTGCCTCTAGCTCTGTGCTTCATGAGCATATTGAGGTTGATATTCATTTTATCCAGGAAAAAGTTCGAGCTGGCATTGTATGTCCTTCATTTGTTCCATCTTCTGATCAGACTGCCAACATTTTCACCAAATCTGTAGGACTATCCCTACTTCGATCTTCCATTGGCAAGCTGGGGTTGGTTGACATCTTTGATCCAACTTGAGGGGGAGTGTTGGAATATGGAATATGGAATATTATATATTTAATTTAGGAATTTAATTTTAAGGTTTGATTGTGTAATTATTTAATTCATTTTTCCATGTATCTTATATTGAATATATATAGACATGGTCTCACCCAAATTAGGGTATTCCAATATTTTATAACTCTCTTCTTGGTATCAGAGCCAAACCCTAGCCACCCACCACCCTTGTCTTCTATTGCCGGTAGCCCTAAATTACCTACCCAGCCACCCGATAGCCTTTCTTCTTCCCTCCACCTAGCCGAAAGTTTTTCTCTTCCTTCTTAGCCCCTCGGCAGTCCCTTTTCCTCACTGTCTTAGCTTCCTTAGGTGCTGACTAGGCCCTCCCTGCCTTGGGTCTAGTGCGGCTTCCCCTCCGGGGTGTTGTTCTTCTCTCTTTACCCTTCTAGGGTTCATATGCTGATATGGTAAGCACTTTCTAGTTTGATTTTCTGTTGTGTTGGGCTACTGGTGTGTTCGGTAGCATCTCTTTTGTGTCACGCCGTTACTTTGGCTTCGTGGTGTTTCAGCATGTCTTACTTTGTTACACAAACTCAAAGTATTATGCCTTGTTCAAATGTTTCCTTGGCCTCCCATGTTCCGGTTTATCGAATTACTAGTGTGTTGCTCACTGGTCGCAACTTTGCGGCTTGGAGTCGGTCTATACGTCTCTACCTTGGGGGTAAAGGCAAATCTGGATGGCTTTTGGAATCCGAGATATAATCTTCCGCTGATGATCCTAAGCGGGTTCAATGGGATATTGACAATTGCACCTTACTTGGTTGGATGTTCAACTCTATGGAAGAACGTATCTACAACATGTTTATGTACTGTGATACAATTCCTCAGTTGTGGAGTGCTCTTACCCAAATGTATGCACATGCCTACAATGATGCTAGGATTTTCGAGCTCTATTAGGATATTTCTCATGCCTCTCAGGAAGCTTTGGGTTTTACTGTTGCTGAATTTTTTGGGTATCTTCAGTCTCGCTAGGAGGAGTTAGCACAGTATAAGCCATTGAGCGATTTTCTAGCTGTTGCCGCTTCTATTGTGTCTGCTTGTCTTGCTCGCCAGCACACTTATCAATTTCTAATGGGTTTAAAACCTGAATTCGAGTCTCTTCGTATTCAGATTTTGAACGCATCACCTATGTCATCCTTATATGAGGTTTTTACTACTATTAACAGTGAGGAGTGTCGTCATCGATTGATTTAACTGGTGGCTCCGTTTCCTTCCTCTGTTCCTGCCTCATCTTCCATTTCAGATCAAATGGCTCTTGCTGCCAAGTTTAGTTCTCATGCTTCTAGTAGCAAGGTTATTTGTCACCATTGTGGTGCAGCTGGTCATGTCCAAGCACGGTGCTTCAAGCTTCATCCTGAGTTGAAGCAACGCTTTGCAAGGACACGCCCTTCAGATTCTCCCCATATTGCTGTTATTGTAGACACCTCTAGTACTCCTCAGCCGACTCATCCTATTGATCTTCATCAGCTTCAATCTCAGATTGGTCGCCTTCAAGAGCAACTTGGTTCATTCACTGCCATGTCTCTAAATGTTCCTTCTACTACTACACTCACTACAGGTACTTCTACAGCCTTTCATGTTCGCACTGCACCTACTTGGGTATTAGATTCTAGAGCCAATGATCATATGACTGGTGAGTTTTCTTGTTTATCCTCTCCTGTCTCTACTACTGCTCAGACTGTATGTCTTGCTGATGGGTCTATTTCACATGTCTAACGTAAGAGTGATGTGTCATTGTCGTCTGATATTACACTTTTGTCTTGCATGTGCCCCATTTTGCTTATAATCTTCTCTCTGTGAGTCGCCCTGCTAAAAACCTTCATTGTGCAGTTATTTTCTTACCTACTCATTATTTATTACAGGACTTGACTTCGAAAAAGATTTTTGGCCAGGGGTTTGAACGCAACGGGCTATACTACTTCGAGGACCCACCACCTTCTCATCCTACCACTTCTAGCTTGCAAGCAGCTGTGTTACCTGAGTCGTCTTCCTATGTGTTTTCTTTTTCAAACTTTAACCTTGTGGCATGCTCGTTTAGGACATGCAAACTTTAATTATTTATATTACTTTTTCCGTCACTTAATAAAGCTTGCAAAGATCATCAGTTTCATTGTGTTGTTTGTGAACTGTCTAAACATACTAACACTTCTTATATTCCTCGCATGTATCATGCCTCCTGTATGTTTGACCTTATTCACTCTGATATCTAGGGTCCTTCTCCTCTTTTGGCTTTTTTTGGGCATCGCTATTATGTAACCTTCATAGATGACCATTCTAAGTGTACTTGGGTTTATTTGCTTAAAAAGAAGTCTGTTGTGCTTCCACTTTTTATTCAATTTCTCCAAATTATCAAAACCCAATTCCACACCGTTGTACGCAATTTTCATTCTAATAATGGGAGGGAGTACATCTCTGATGCATTTCACTCCCAACTTAATCAGTAGGGAATTTTGCAACAACTTACTTGTACTTACACCCCTGAACAAAATGGGATTGCTGAACGTAAAAACCGTCATATTATATCTATTGTCCGGTGTCTTCCTTGTGGGATGAATATCCCTAAGTCCTACTGGCATATGGCTGTGCTTACTGCTGTTTGCCTCATTAATCAGACACCTAGTCGGATTCTTTACGGGTTGGCCCCTTTTCAATTACTTTGACTAGATACTGTGTTATTTCCTCTTGTGCCTCGTGTGTTTGGTTGTACTTGTTTTGTTCAGGATCGTAGTCCAACTCGGACCAAGTTAGATAACAAGTCGCTTACATGCATATTCTTGGGCTATTCAACTCTCTCTAAAGGCTATAGGTGCTATGATTCATTGTCACATCGTTTTTATCATTCTATGGATGTCACATTTTGCGAAGCTATGCCATTTTTTGGTTCTAACCCTATGTTTCAGGATTCCGCCTCGTGTGCACCGCCTCCTGCTGTGTCACCGAGTGCCCACCTTGTTCCTATCATTGATTCCTTTGCTCCTTCCTCATCGTCTGTATCTGCACCTGCTAGTCCTCCACCATTACAGACATACTCTCGTTGCCCTCATGCTCCGCCCCCTCCAGCATCTTCTTCATCCTCAGGCCAAGGTACACCCTCTACTATTCCCTCCCCAGCTCCTTCCCAGTATCCAACCCGTGAACATCGTCCCCCTAATCGGTTTGGTTGGTTTAGTAGTACTAATCACCTTATT